ATATTGTATATAACATGAGTTAATGCTATAAGATATAACAAGCAACCTCTCAGCTGAGAGCTCCGCTGATAGCAATGTACATTTCAATTAGGGAATTGAAGATATCATCACAAAATAAACAAATCTGAGATCAAGTCCACTCAATGTATAAATATGTATAATATCAAAGTAAACAAACTTATCACTTTTTGCTAAAAATGACAAAATATTCATCAAAATAAGGGATTTGAAGATATCATCACAAAATCAACAAATCTAAGAGAATTCCACATATAGTGCATGTACCTCTACGTATAATAACCAAATCAATCGGACATGCGGTTTTCAACAAGAAGTCAAAAATATCACTTTTTACCAAAAATGACAAAAATATTAAAGAAATAATCACGAAATGAACAAATCTAAGAGAAGCCTACCCAAGGTACATATACGCCAAGTATCAAAGCAATCAGACTTGTAGTTTTCAAGAAGAAGTTTAAAAAGTCAGTCAACGATGGACATATGATAAGCTTCGATCAACAAAGTCACTGTCACTGTCACTGTCACTGTTTCAAATTAAACAAATTTATTTTATTTTATTTTATTTCTCACTTTCACTCAGAAAAACATAGTTTAACTCTGGTGACCTTGCCCTTTGTTATATAATATTTCATTTATCATAGTTTGTTTTCAATATGGATATGCATTTTCATAATTAAATTTGAATACAAACAAGTTTTAGGATTGAAACAGCAGTAGGAAAGCTATCTACCAAAAGACCTTGATTGATGTAAATATCTTACAAAAATATTGGTGCCTAATTTGTTTAATTATTTTAAGGACATAATTTCTAGTTGGCTGAACATGATGAAAAATTGTAGTTGTATGCACTGTTTTATTCATTCATAGCACATATTGGGGACAGAATATATGTAAGGGGTATAATTCATGGCACATATTGGGGTCAAAATATCTCTTTACAAGGAAATTATTATTCATGGTCTGTGAGGTCTGGACCAAGTGTGAATGACATTTTGGTATACTTTTTCAAGAAAAAAATGTATTAATTCAGGTATACATGTATAGAAAAATACATTAATGTATGTCAACCTGCATTCAACTGAGGTGCATCAGATAAAAAAAACAAAAACATCACATGCTCAAAAATTGTGAGCCCATATTGTAAATTTGAACACAGATAGGGCATTATTTTATTTTGTTGATAACTTTGGACTAAACAGACATAATTTTCTATTGGCTTCAGATCTTGATCCAAAGTTTGGCATCCAAAGGGTTATACAAAGGAGTGTTTATATCGATTATCTGACATCTTGTTTTCTGTTAAGATACTTTATGTATTCTATGTTTGCATTGAAACCCAGTCTAGTATTCCCAAGGGATTTGGGAGATACATTACCAATGATAACCATAATAAATGATTTACTTCATTGAACACATCCAGCAATGCATACTCCCACTGGGAACAGTGACCTTTGAATGTGTATAGTAATCAGTCAAGTAGAAACAGTCAAAAATATTTTTTATCAGATTTTGACTATGACTTTCTCAATTTTTTGCATATTTTCACACAGGACATCTGTCGTTCACACTAAGGGAAGATTTTATACTGATGAATTAGATGACCAAGTTTTATAAAGTTTGGAATAGAATTAGTGAAGTTATTGTGCACACATTAACAATTATTAACATTGATGACGACAACAACAACGACGACAATGACAATAACGACAGACATTTTTTTCTTAATATATCTTTCCCTTTCATCTTTGATGATACATGCAAAGTAAATAAAGAATCTGCACAGTTATTCTTACCTGGGGAACAATGAATGATGATCCATATAGAAACTGTCGTAACAATGGCGTCAGATCTTCTGACGGGATCAGGGCATCACCAAACATGGCAAGAAAATTACTTCCAAAAGCAAGATGGAAAACTTGACAAAAATTCATTGTAACAAACATCAAAAAGTTTTTTTCAGATATTATTTGCTTTGACAATTTCCATATACTATTTTCTGTGTCTTGGATTCTCGCATTTGGGGAATTGCTTTCACCCTGGATTTTATAGTTAGTAGTTGCGTGGATTCCAGTGTAACGCATAAACATCCAGCTCAGACAAGCTACACAGATACAGTAACACTGAAACATATGGAAATTATGTAAACTGTCCGAAAACAACTCTGCCCAAAGCACTGTGCTGGAACCAATCAAAGAAGCACACTGGGCATATCTAATTAGCTGAAGTCTTGCATCATGTTGTTTGGACATTTCGGAAAAGATTGCACACTGGGCCAAAAGAACAAACGTATAGAGTGCATCGTAAAAGCAGAGACTTGTAAGAAGATGCAATCCAACCACCCAATTTGGTGACTCTTCATACCCAGCCCATGGAAACCATGGCAACAGGAAACAAAGTGCAAAAAGTGGCGCTCCATATAATATTGACAAGCGTCTCTCTTGAAACATTGCCATTTTGGAATTGTCTTGAAAGTAACCAAACAAGGGGTCATTAACTGCATTCCAAATCATATAGATTGTCTGAACTATGTTGAACCAATCCTCTGTAATCTTGTACTGGTTCAAGAACAACTTGACATAGTAGAACTGGAAAACAGAGTTCATCATTGTGGAACCCAAAGAAGTTGCTGAGTACACCACAGCATTCCATGATAAAATTGGTCTTTTTCCCTGTGGTAACGACTCATACTTTATCTCTGCCATCTTCTGTAATGACAAAACAATTCATACACCAGCATTTTTATGATGCACAATAAATTTTTCAGTTACATGCAAAAAATATGTCTGGTGATTACATTTTATTGACAGAAATGACACTTTCTAGTACCTTTTTCCCACCAAAATAATAGTCCAACATTTGTTTATTTTTATGTATTTTTTTTAATCATTTTGGACCAATTTTCTATTTGCTACAGGTAATAATAAACATTTTGCAAAAAAAATTATGTGTGATTTATTTTGTGAATAATGGCAAAAGTTGACTCAATAGTTTAAATAAAAAAGCAAGATGGATTGTTGAACACTTTTCAAGAATTTTGATGGATAATGCATCTTGATAAAAATAATTTTTGGTTTGTGTTGGCACAGACCTGGTTTGTAAAGACATAGCTCCTGAGCTTGATGCAATTCTAGGATTCACACCTTTCTGAGTTAACCAATCAGTTTGCATTAATTTTGACCATTCACAGGGCTCTTTTTTTAGCCAATCAATGTAATTCTATTAGCCAATCAGTGCTATCTTGCATAGCGTCTCTCCTTTGTTTTAGCCCATTCATGAATCGGGTCATTCATTCTTTGATGCAACTCGTTTGCTTGAATGTTCTTGTCGGCTAACCCACCAACCATCCCCATC